TATTCAAAACAAAAACAACAACATGTATTCTTCTTCATCAGACGATTAGGAAATATATTAATAATAATAATTAAAAGAACAACACAAATGTTCTCAGCAAAGAACCTGTAGAGATTAATCCAAAACAAGACGTATAAATTACAGTAACAAAAATAATTAATATTTAATACGATCTCGCAAGCACAAAACAATTGTTACGGAATGATAATCTCTCTCTTTAGAGCAGTAATAATTGTAAAATACAATGAATAATGAACACACAATAATACGCCCACATTACCATTGGAATATCATATCTTCTCCCTTCAATTGAAATCTGAACATAAGCGGGTTTAGAATCTCGGCAGAAGGACAAAACCGATCATTCTCAGCTTATTAAGATGCAAAGGGAAATTTTTAAATTGGAGAGCACAATTCATTGATTAAGGTCTCAAATGTGCGATGCCGTCTCTAAAAGCGACATTATACTCCCGCCAAAATATAAGATACTTGTAGTTGAAAAAAGCTAAGAAAAAAACCCCTCGATGTCTCACCCTCACATCAATACAACAACAACAACATTGGGCAATGGTGATGATCCTCAGCCCATCTCGATAAGGCGAGACAAGAGCAATACATCTGTGCATCATTTAGATCCACATCATTCTCAACATCAACAACATCATTCCTCACCTATTCCAACACCATCCTCACATGGAAGCACAAAGAATTTGATGGAAGATGAAGATGATGACCAATATTGGGGAAAACCCATCAAAAACTCGCAAGATGAAGAAGTTGCAAATCAACCAATGAATAAGGGTGAAGCTTCCTATGTGGGAAGTAATACCAGTTATTCATCATCAGCCTTTACAAATCCTCAATCACCATTACTAGCATTTCGTAATTCCATATTTGAATTTATTGTTTCTTTCAAGAGGAATGAATCTTTCATCAAGAGCAAATACCAAGCAGTCGCATGGATTATGTTACATATTTACATGATATACTATTCTTTGATAACCTGTTCAATAACAACGACTGCGAGTGAGGAGAGTAGTGGAGCAATGTGGGGTGTTGTTGGTGGTTGGATTTGGAGAGTTTTGCATTTTCCTCTTGATTTTGGAATACAATATTATCCTTATGAGCTAGTTTATACATTTTCTGCAATATGGCTATTCGTTGAAATTCTATGTTTGATTTGCTTTTATGCATACAGAGTAGGAATCAAGAATGGAAGCAGATACAATGACAAAATCAAAATGGTATCCAGACTATTCATAATAATTGTAATTATACTTTCACCATTCATGCTTTTTGTACATACATACCCTCTAGCTGTTAACATGAATATCTTCTCCACATCATCATCAACCGAAATTTATATGAAACATTTCACAACACCATTATTTACAGCCTCTGTTAACATTGGTCTCATTGTTATTGGATGTATAGGGGCAATTTTGACACTAGGTATTTCTGTATTAGGTTTTTATCTTGTATATGAAACTATTCCAACAAGAGGAACCAGGACAGTATTCGTACTAGATAGAATTTATCCACTATGTCTCTTGTTACTCAATAACCAAGTTGGTATCATACTGACAGTAGTTTTAACTTATGAGTTGTGTGTTATTTCCGCTGGTATCAAATTCTTGTTGAGCATTCTCTTTATTGTTTCACTATTTGTGGCAATACCCTTCTACAGAAGGTGGGAGAATTGTGTTTATTGTGGAGTTGGAGTTTCAAGGGCTTTGGGAAGTTTAGGACCTCTTGTTTGTTTGCTTGTCACAAGAGATTCAACCATTGACAAGGAATTAATTGGAGGAATCTTAACAGGAATAACATTGGCTCTGATGATTGTTGGTTTCATACTTGGATATGTGATTATGGAAATTTATACAAGACTAAAGATGAGATCGATAAGAACAGTATTGAACGAATACTTTTCAGACAGCCATTCCGTATCCAATATTGTCTCTGAATTGACAACAAAAAAGATGAACAAGAGTATTATCATGTTCATTAAATTTAACACATTGAAAACAAAGGGTGGAGAAGGTTCAGATTTGGAGTTGGCAAGAAAATTCATCAAATCAGCAAACTTACGTAGTGTTACAGATGTCAACTTGTTAATCATGGCAGCAAGCTTTGTTGGTAATAATGCCCCAGCTAGCACCACAGAAAGTGGAAACACAGCCCTTGCAGTTGAAATAATGAGAAGAGTTTGAAACAAAACCCAAATTTCGTTCAAGTTTTCCATTACTTTTTGAGATGCAAAGAGATTGAAGCCAACTCTGAGAATTATGCTAATGTTAGTTATGAAGTTAAAAAATTATTAGAGAGACTCGATAAGAAACAATCTCAGATACTGGCATTGCACCAGGAATTTTTCAAAGAGCTTTCCAGTGAAAATCCTTCTGAGGACAAACTTGAAAAGATTAACAGAAAATCCAATAATTTGATAATATTTTGTGAAAATGCATACAAGAATTGCATGTATACCAATATGAACAACAAGACCCTGTTGAGAGCTTACGCATACTTTTTGGAGATATTTAGATTTGAGATTGAAGTGGCCAATGAATTATATGAGGAGGCTAATCAAATTGAGGAAGAGAAATCCAAAACCAACAAGCAGTCTCATTCAAAAAGTAATAGAGTAGTTCCTTATACCAGTGCCTCAGAAGAGTCATCACTTATGAAAAGAAGGAAATCAGACACTCTGAAACATGGAGTATCATTCGATGAAGTTGTAGATAACTGGGATTCGATCAGTGCAAGAATGGAAGAATCAATGAAACAAGAAGCCTTCTATAGAAATTCAATCAACACTCCAGAACACAGAAAATCCTATTATTTCACATTTTTACCGTTTGTGATTGTTTCATTCCTTGTTTTATTAATTTTATTAACAATGTCTCTGGTCTTTTCGTCAGAATTTACCAGTAGAACAGTGTTAGAAGAAAAGATTTGCTCAATAGCTGGTGCTCCAAGCATTATGGCCAATCACATTCGTTCTATTCAAGCTAGGTATAGATATTTGAATGAATCTTCAGCAAGTACCGCTCATGCCTTAGCTACTGTTCAGACCAGCTATGTTACAACATTGATTAATAATGTATTGAGTGCATCTTCCTCATCATTCTTCCCAGCTGTTACTGAAGATTTTATTGCCCAAAAGTTTTTGTACAAGGTTCCAAACAAACAAGTTGTAGGAGAATCTACACAACTCTATTCTACCATGAATGTATCTGTTTTGGAATTTTTAAACATGTTTGAAAATCATGCTGGTAGAGCAATTTCTCAATTGAGCTCTCCTGCCCAACTGAACGACACTTCAACAAATTTTCCAGTTCTTTTCTTCCTCTACAATAGAGAGACAATGTCTGAGGCTTTTGATTGGTTTTGTAGATCATTTTTGGATACTTCTATGGAGAGAGCTGACTG